GGCATTCTGTATGCTTTGGTTACCTGAATGTCAGATTGTTTCCTCATATTTGGGAAGTTTTCTGTTATTACTTCTGCCCATATTTTTTTAATGTCATTTGTATTGACTCTTTCTTTCTCATTGATGCCTATTAGTCTCACATTGTTTATCTTTGCATCATCTTGCAGGTGATGGATTACTTTTTCTTGCATCCTAGTTGATTTTAAGAGATCCTTTCTTACTTTTTCACTGACTGCATCAGCATCTTCAAGATCTGAAACTCTGTCTTCACTTTCACTTAAGCAGTTTTGCAAGCTTGTGGTTGAGATTTTAAATTCCTCTATATCTCTTTGACTCTGCTTCATGAGATCTATTTCTTTCCTTTATTGCTCATTTAAGGAATCCATCCTTTTTCTAATATCCTCTATTTTTTTTAATCAATGTCTTCTTTAGAAGCAGTTATAAATTCTTTTACTGCAGTGGTTTTTTTCAGATTGGGTTTCCTCCCTCTGTTTCTGTAGTTCATTCTTTACTTCAGATGCTATGAGTTCAGAGAATTCTTTTTTTATTTTAGAAAAAAATTGCGCTCTGAGTTCCTCTATAACTTTCTGCTGTTGCTTATTTACTGTTGACACTATTAATTCATACATTTGAGCAGAGCTAGTGTCCTCTGCACTTGTTCTGGGTGGGCATTGGGTTTCCTCCATATGTTTCTGCATTTGATTGTTTCCTGCAGATGCTATTAATTCAGGGATTTCTTTTTTCATTTGCACTCTGAGTTCCTCTATACCTTTCTGCAGCTGTTTTTTTTTTTTATTTCAGAAGCCGTTATTTCATTGATTTCAGCTGTGTGATTCCCATTTTTTTTTCTGTGTTAGTATCCTCTGTACTTGTTTTGGGTAGGCTTGTGTTCTGAGTTTGCATTTTGTTCCTTCTCATTGGCATTTTGTGTAGCACTCTCTTCTGACCCTTGTTGTACTGCTTTGGTGCAGTTATAACCTTAGGACCTACTGAAGTTCAGGTGTAGATCTACAAAGTTTGGATTTATCCAGCTGTGGGAGGCACATTAACTCCAGGCCTCCAATCCTATTGCAAGTGGGTTTCCTGGTTCCTGTGAAACTGCAACATCATGACTCTGCACCACGTATCCCTTAATGGTCATCTGAGTGCCACTTATCTATAAAATTATCTTGGTGCATCAGCATCATTAGTGACGCTGACTTCCTCTTCCCCTACCTCTGCTGAGCTAAGCTCTTAATTCTTCTTACCCTGCCTATTTCCCATAAGCCTCCTGCTATGCCCTGGAGGTGGGACTTCCTGTCATAGCCCAGTTGCCTAGTTACTCTCGCTTTTTACCTGCCGATGTCATTTCCCTATGCCTCCACTATATATACTCAGAGTTTCCTTTGAATAAACGAGACTTGATCAGAATCCTGTCTTGTCTCCATTTCTCATGTCTCCTGTCCTTTCTCCCCTACTTAATTCCCCGCTCCTCTCCCAGGTGACCTTCATTGACTGACCCGCTGTTTCGGGACATCCAGCTGTGCCTAGGTTGCATCTGACTGCTGTGCTCTGCTCCTTCCTGCTGCCACCCTTGGGAGTGAACCTGTTGTGCCCCTCTGGGAAGATGTTCTGCTCCTGGACTAGCTGGGTGCTTCTGTCCCCTACACTCTCTGCAGGGATTGCAGCTGCAGGGTTTCACCTCAGGCCTGTATGCCAGGCCTGAGCTGAGTCTGGAGGGGACAAGGTGGAGTAGGGGCGACAGGCAACTCTCCCACACACTCACCGGACCTGGGCTGGGACTGCATGTGGGGGTCCCCAGAATGCGGCAGAAATTCTCACCGGGCGGGGGGTGCTGCAGAGTGGGGAGATTCCCAAAGTGGTGGAAGAGGGTTTCACCCATGCTGCGCCTGGGCTGGGACTGGCACGTCCCGTAGGTGCAGGGTAGCTGGAGGCTCTCCCACACACTCACCGAGCCAGGGCTAAGACTAGATCTGGTATTCCTAGAACATGGCAGAAACTCTCATGCGGCAGGTGGGGTGGGGATGCTGTGGAGTGGTGGGGGTTGTCCCAAGGGAGTGGAAGAGTGTCTCATGCACGCTGTGCCTGGCCTGGGACCAGCTGGTCCCACATGTGCAGGTTAGCAGGAGGCTATCCCACACACTCACTGGGCCTAGGCTAGGACTGGATCTGGGGGTCCCTAGAAAGCTTCAGAAATTCTCACGTGGCGGGTGGCATGTGGGTTGTTGTGGAGAGTTGGGGGGACCCCAAGGGGTGGAAGAGGGTCTCACCCACGCTGTGCCTGGGCTCATGAAATTCTTTAGTTGTTGTCATGGAAGTATTTCACTTCTCCATCAAACTTGAAAGAGTTTTTTAGGGTATAGTAGTCTGGGCTGGAATTTGTTTTCATAGAGGACTTGAAATACTCTGCCCCATGCTCTTCTTGCTTTCATGGTTTGTGAAGAGAAGTTGGCCATAATTCTGATGGGTTTCCTTTGAATGTGATGAAATTCTTTTCTCTAGTGGCTTTCAGTATATTATTCTTGAGCTGAATTTTTGGGATCTTGACTATTATATGTCTCAGTGTGTTTTTATTTGGGTTGAAGTTATTTGGAGTTCTGTATGCTTCAGTTACCTAAATGTCAGAATTTTTCCTCATATTTGGGAAGTTTTCTGCTATTACTTCTGTCCATATTTTTTATATCATTTGTTTTGTCTCCTTCTTTCTCATTGATGCCTATTAATCTCACATTGTTCATCTTTCCATTGTCTTGCAGATGATGATTATTATTTTCCTGCATCCTAGTTGTTTTTAAGAGAACCTTTCTTACCTTTTTGCTAGTTGTGACAAGATCTGAAACTCTGTCTTCCCTTTCACTCAAACAGTTTTGCAAGCTTGTGATTGAGATTTTAAATTCCTCTATATCTCTCTGGCTCTGCTTCATGTGGTCTATTTCTTTCCTGTATTGCTCATTCAAGGAATACGTCATTTTTCTAATCACCTCTATTTTTTATCAATGTCTTCTTTAGAAGCAGTTATTAATTCTTTTATAAGAGATTTTTTCAGATTGGGTTTCCTCCATATGTTTCTTTACTTCAGATGCCATTACTTCAGAGATTTCTTTTTTTATTTCAGAGATTAATTCTCATCTGAGTTCTATACCTTTCTGCTCATTTCTTTACCTCTGATGTTATCAATTCATAGATTTCTTTTTTTGTTTCAGAGATTAATTGTGACCTGAGTTCCTCTATACCTTTTTGCTGTTTTTTTTTTACTTCAGACGCTATTGATTCATGCATTTCAGCTGAGCTAGTGTCCTTTGCACTTGTGCTGGGTGGGCCTGAGGCCTGAGATTGCATTTTACTTCTTCTCTTTGTCATTTCATATAGCACTGACCTCTGACCTTTGTTGTAGAGCTTTGGTTCAGTTATAATCTTAGCACTTACTGAAATTTGAGTACAGGTCTATTAAGTTTGAGTTTTTCCTGTTGTGTTTGACTTGGGTCTAGCTGTTGTGTTCAGCTTCTTCCTGTTGCATTTGGAAGTTAACCTGTTGTGCCCCTCTGGCACAACAGTGAACCTGTTGTGTCCCTCTGTTGTACCCCTGGCCCAGAGGGTGCAGGGCAGCGCAGGGGAGCACAGAAACTCTCCCACACACTAGCTGGCCTGGTCTTGGGCTGTGCCTGTGGGGGGGGGGGTTCCAAGAGCACAGCAGAAGTTCTCACTCACTTGCTGAGCTTGGTCAATGGGCTCTGGAGGTGTGGAGTGGCCCCAATTGTGCAGCAGAGGGTCTCACTCATGTGGAGTACCTGTGTTTTGGTCCAGAGAGTTCCAGCAGGTGTGCATATAGGAGCCAGAAGCTCTCCCACACACTCACCAGGCATGGGCTTGGGCTGGATCTGGGGGTCCCGAATGCATGGCAGAAGTTGTATCTAGTACTTCATGGTACTAGTACTTCACAGTACACAGTACTAGGCTTCCACCCAACATCCTTGTGCGAGATAACCAACCTACTGCTGAGCAACACTCCCAGTCCCATAAAGTTTATTAAAAACAAAAAGTAAATACTCTGAGGTCAGAAAGATGTGAAGATGTGTTTAGAAATTAATTGTACCATCTAAAAGACTGGGTGACTTTGAGAAAATCATTAATTTCTCTGTCTGTTGGGGTGGTTGATACATTCTGTCAACTTGAGAAGTTTAAAAGTTTAATTAAATGACTCAGCAGAGAGCCAGGATTCTTAAGTTTGTACATATCTATTCTTATTCTAAGCTAGATGAGGGCATGGACTCTGTGTGAGTTCTATATCCTCAGCCCCAGGGTAGTTTGTTTACAATATAAGCAGGAGAGAAAGGCTGGCTAGAAGCAGCATCTGCTGCCCTTCCCTTTGCTCTCAGCAGTTTCAGCCACATGAACTGCTACTCTCTGCCATGCGCACACTTCCTGGGAGCCAGCCGTGTATAGGCTGAAACCTCCACATGCTGTGAGGTAAATAAGCCTTTCCTTCCCTCATTTTTGAGTGTTGGGTATTTGTCCCAGAAAGGAGTAATAAGTAACCAAGACATCTGTTTCCTCAGCTATAAAATGAGGAAAATAAGTAGTACTCATCCTAAGAGTGCTAAAAAATTAAATTAAATAAGGCATTTTAAGCAATGGCCATAATATAAAACAAAATTCAATACTCTCTCAAAACAAAAGGGGTCATGTTCTCAGTCTCCTTTATTTTTGAAATTTATACAACTACATTATACAGTTGTTACAAAGATGAAATTAATAACCACTCAATAATAATGTGCTCAGACTACAACTTGATACATGGCAAGTGTTAAGACTGAATAAAAGTGTAGTTTTTGTTCTTTTTAGTAAAAAAAGAACAAGCTGGGCTGGGCATATAGTTCAAGGACATAAGTGCCTGCCTAGCAAGTGCAAGTCCCTATTTCAATCCCCAGTACTGAAAGAAAGAAAGAAAGAAAGAAAGAAAGAAAGAAAGAAAGAAAGAAAGAGAGAGAAAGCATGTTAACTTATCCTTAATTTCTTCCACAGAAAGTTTATCACATATTTGTTTCATACATGTTTCTATATGTTCCAAACATTCTTGAAATAGATCTGCCTCTTTCATCACTTGATTCTCATGCATTATCGCTATATTCAGGCTACTTTGTTGAGAGGAACCTGGAAGAAAACAATTAAATTTTATCACCTCTGTAATTACATAAAGTAGTTACAGATCCTTAATTAAACTGTCTTCTCAGGAAAGCCACTTACAAAGACTTAAAAAAGAAACCCACAAGCAATTATAAGTCAAAGAACAATTAACAGTATTTTTTAAAATAATTTTATTGACAAAGAAATTGCAATGAGACAGTTTCAAAACTGATTGGTAGGATAGTTTCCATAATTAATACATTGCACATTGTTCTCTTCTTAGTGGTTATTCATAGTACAAGATGCAGGCATGATATCTTGTCCACAAACACTATTTGTACAAATCTTTCTATTCATTGTATTAAGAGAAAGTAGCTGTATATCTATCCTATTTTGTATATACAGGTACAAAATGGTCCTTTTATATCCCCTTTTTTCATTTAGTTTTGTCAGAGAAGGGTATTCCATTGTCATTTAAATATTGTAGGTGTGTTAATTCAGCAAAATATTCCAATATAGTCCAGTAGTCCATAATAGTAATGGGTTTTCCATAGGACTGGAAGTGTCAGAAGTTGTTGACTTGAGCCTTTTACAGCTCAGCCTATTACTATGGCTTTACTTTTTATACTTCATTTTTATACTTTTCTGTTGGATGCTTAAGACCAGGATAAAGCAAGACCTACATAACAAGAAATGTAACTTTTGTATCTGACAAGGTCAGTCAAATCCCCTCAGGATTTATCCTGAAACCCTGTACTGCAGTTTGTAGATCCTTTGCCAGTGTCAGCCATATGGATGATTCATGGCCATTGCTTGACCAATTTGCTCTCTGTGAAAGCCTGATAAAATGTTTTCTCTCCATGTGACTCTCCTTAAGCACACTCTACATCATCTATCACTTTCCTCTGTGGCCCCATAATCTCCTTGATCAGAAAATTTGGGACTCAACTGAGTTACAGGATGTTATAGTTCAGGTTCTCCCATGTCCTGAGTCCTCACTGACCTCGAAAGGCTAGGGCCAAAATGTTGGCTGCCTTTGCATCCCTTCTTTTTCTCTAATTTTTGGTCTGCAAATGTAAGTTGTTAACCCTCCAGAAGAGAAGCTTATTATTATTACCCTACAACCTAGGCATTGAGCTTAATCTCACTGTCTGAATATCAAACATCTTAGACATAACATGGAACAGGTATTTTCCATCAAGTATTGATATGTTAAACTTTAAGTCCCTATAGAATATGAAGGAAAAAATTTAAAAATTAAAAATAGGAATAAACAATGATATATTTTTACACATAAATTTAGAAATCTAACCATATAGAGCATTGTAGCAGCACAGTCCCATGACATTCTTTTTTCTTGTCACTTAGTTTCATTTATTACCCTTTTTTTTTTAAATTTACTTGAGAGACAACATGACAGTAATTGGTATGGCATGACAAGCAGTACATATTTACAAGACCAGAATGACAGGCATTCCAAACATGACCCTAGTATTACACATTGCTATCTTCAGTGCAGTTGTTTAGTTCACAGGTATCAGCATATATAGTTAGTCAGGGTGAGAATCCTACCAATTAACTGCTAGTTTGAAAAACCTGCTGAAGATTCTCAGGATCATTGCCTTACCCATCTTGTGTATATAAATGTATGGCTTTGCCACTGTCATGTTTCCTAGCTTTTCTCTGCTCTCTCTTCATTGTCTAGTCCCCAAGTTCTTGCTTTCCTTTTAATTGTATTATACCTTCCTATTTTTATTTCTTCTTTTGAGTTCTTATAATAGAGAGACTATATGATATTTACACATGTGGGTCTGGTTTATTTCACTTATGAGTATATCTTCAAGTGGCATCCACTTCAATATAAAGGCTTCAAGTTTATCATTCTTTATAGCTGAGTAATACTCCATTGTATGAAAATACTACATCTTTTTCATCCGTTCAATTAACAGTATTGAGGACTGCAATCTTTAACAAATAAAGATAAAGGACTGGTCAAGTACAGCAATCAATAAATCTTATAGTCAAATATAAAGTGGTTAAAATTCTAAGGAACCTGCCAGACATGATGGAGTATGCCTGTAATCACAGCACTCTATGAGGCAGAGGCAGGAAGACCTCAAGTTTTTTAGTCCAGTGTGGGCAATTTAGTCACACTGTCTCAAAATATAAATAAATAAATAAATAAATAAAGGGCCAAAGCTATCGGTTTGAATCTCATTACAAAGAACAGGACAAAACAAAACCAACAACATCTGAGGACCAATAAAGGACTTCATAAGGGTCACAGAACAAAAGATCAACAAAGAAAATCAATTGTGTTTCTATACACTAGCAATGAACAACCCCAAACAAGATTATAACATATCACTCATAATTGCATCAACAATAACAAAATATTTAGGAATAAAGATAAGTAATAAAACCTGTATACTGTAAACTACAAAATGGATGAAGCAACAGTGAAAAAGAAAGAAACTGTTCAATGGGAAAGAAAAACTGGTATAAGACAAAGGACAAATGTAAGAAGGGGAAAAGATGCATTTGGGTATATATGCAGAATAGTTTGGATAATTCTATTGTTGATTTCTGCTGATCTTTTGAAAGAATCAGTTAGTGCTTAAATTTTTTTACTCTGATTTTTTTCCTCTTTTGAATTTCTTATAACTGTTATTTTTATTTTAAATGAATCTTATACATTTATATCTGGTGCTGGGAACAACTAATTTGAAGATAACATCATGTAAACAGCAACCACTGATAAATTCCTTTGTTTAGTGATATCTTGTATCGTTTCTAACACTTTTTTCTTTATATCTCTATTTTGTATTCTTTAAAAATAAAAAAAAGATAATTAAAAAGTAAAATAAAAGATAAAGTCCTAAATAGAGGGATTCCATTTCACATTGGTAAAATGCCAGTCTCACCACACTTCACACATAAATTCTCCTCAAATGCAATTTCTACCACAATCTCAGCAAACATTTCATAGAAATTGCCAAGCTGATCCTAAAATTCATATGGAAACACAAAAGACTTACAAATGCCAAAACAATCTCAGAAAAGAAAATTTAAGAGGATATACATTTCAAATTTCAAACTCATTATAAAGCTACAGTAATCTAGGTATTGTAGCACTGGCATTTAAAAAAAAAAACAGAGATCAATAGAACAATAAATTCTTATTCTAGCCAACTGATTTTCAATTAAGGTGTCCAGAAATGATGCTGGGACAACAAAATAGTAACATGCAAAAAATAACTTTCAGCTGGGCATGGTAGTACATGCTTGTAATCCCAGCACTCTGCTTAAATCTTAAAAACAAGAAGGAAAACTAACACATGTACTCAAAGTAGAATTAAAAGACAAGACTAGCAAAAGTTAAAGGAAGGGAAAAGACAATCTAGGATGGTTCTATCAAACTAGTAAGTGTTCCAAACAGAGAAATATAGTACAAAAGAAATGATTTTTTAACAAAAACATACCAGCATATCATGCGAGAACTCAAAAAATATATTTGGGTTTACAAGGTCCACTAGAGCAATGAATGATATCCTTAAGATCAACACATCCTAAAAAATTTCAGAACATAAAAGTTAAAGATTCTTTTGGAACACACACACAGAGAGAGAGAGAGAGAGAGAGAGAGAGAGAGAGAGAGAGAGAGAGAGAGAGATCGCTTAAAAAGAATAACAACCAGGCATCAGGCTCCATATTGGCAACAATAGACACCTTCAAAATTCTATGGGAAGGGCTGGCCAGATAGCTCAGTGGATTAAAGTGCCTGTTTAGGTAGAGCACAGCAGCTGGGGTTCAATACCTAGCCTGCCCTGCTGGTCCTGCCCCTGGGGCATGCTGAGACAGTGATTGAGACTGTGCATGGTGGTGCACTTGTAATCTCAGCACCTGGGAGACTGAAAGCAGGAGAATCACTACAGGTCCGATCTGTGTAGTGAGATCCTGTAAGCTCTGTACTAAATACACACACACACACACACACACACACACACACACACACACACACAAATTCTATGTCAAAATTATTTGTCTACTTAGAATTCTATAAAAACAAATACAAGTGTCAGAGATATTGCTCAGCAGCACAAGCACCTGCCTGGCAAGTGCAACATCCTAAATTCAATTCCTAGTACAAAAAAAGAAAAAAAGGACAAGGAAAAAGACAGTTTCAACAAGGCTGGGGAGATGACTCAGTGGAATAAGCACTTCCCTGGCAAGTGCAAGGGCCCGAGTTCAATCCCCAGTTCTGAAAAAAAAAAAAAAAAAAAAAAAAAAAAAAAAAAAAAAAAAAAGACAGTTTCAAGATATATAAGGAGTTGAAAATTTACTGTCCTATAGCCTTTCTTAGACATTTTCTAAAGAAAGTAGTTTAATAAAACAAAGTAAATAAAAAATACACATTATCGGGAAAAAAATAAAACCAATCTGGGCTCAGACAGGGTGGAGGACCACCTGAATGACGCTCCTGAAAGAGGAGCAATTATCTCCATTTTGGCTGAGCCTGACCCTATTTCTATCTACTGATATGTACAGAGCTGGCTAGGACTTTTTCTTATCCCTTTGGTTGACTTTAAGCAATGCATACTGTTCTAACTGAGGTGTTGTTGGTAGTCTCTGAAGATGGCTGAGGTGTTTCCTGGAATCCCCATCTGTAGCTTCCGAGTGTGAGCTGGGTTGAGACAGTATGAAGAGCTAATGCTCCAATTGTCCACTGGGATTGAGCAGGGATCAAGCCTCAAGATAAAGGGTATGACTTCCTGGGGCTTGAAAGACTATATATCAGAGCCGAAGACCCCAAAACATGAGATACTAGGGAAGCGCTTATTCCACTAAGCCATCTCCCCAGCCCCAAATGTGAGATACTATCCCAATTATGTAATACAGATTACTCTTTCTGCATGTCCTTCTCTGTGTATTGCAGAGATAAATGCAGGCCTTCTACCTAGTCCAGCTCATGGCACTCACCTACTTCCTGCCATTCTCACAGTTACTCATCCTCAAGCCATTCCTTTCCTCATGAATGAATAAAACCCGGGTTTGGCCCTGGGTCGAGACCTTTGTTCTGGATAACCATCACCATGGCTGAATTTAGGACCCTCTGGCTCCCCAGAAGTACAAATATACCTTAGTGTCTTTATTCTCACCATAGGTTGAACTGGGTGTGGGAGACTGCAATTAACTTGATGGGATTGCAGTAATTTATCCAAGGGATTAAAAATATAAATTTATCTAAGACAAGGACCAAGAAGGGCTCTCTATAGATGGGGACAGTTAGATAGGAGAAAATATTTAATAAAACATAACTAGAGATTAAGAAAGTCATGAAGCCCTGAAAGAGGCATAAACTATAAAGCAAAAAAAAAAAAAAGAAAAAGAAAAAGAAAAACGAAAGAAAGAAAATGTAAAATTCCAAGAAAATCTAAAAGTTGCCAGGTGTGGTAGAACACACCTGTAGTCTCAGCTAATTCAAGACCATTCTGGGCTACACAGTAAGTTTAAGGACAGCCTGAACTACATAGCAAAACTTTCTCTCCAAAAGAAGGATTAAAAAAGAATATTATGAAAACTATTTGCCAGGCATGGAGGCACATGACTGTAATCCAAACACTTGGGAGGCTGAGGCAGAAGGGTTCCTAAAAGTTTGAGGCCAACCTGAGCTACAAAGTGAGTTCAAGGTTAGCCTGAACCCACAGATAGTGAGGTTAAGCTTGACAGCCTTGGTTGTATGGTAATAACAATAAGCTTCTCTTCTAAAGGGTTAACAACCTAGGGTGAAAGACCAAAATTAGAGAAAAAGGAGGGCCTCAAGGAAAGCCAACATTTTGTCCCTAGCCTTCCAAAGTCAATTAAGACTCAGGACATATGAGCATTTGTACTGTAATGTCATATAACTCAGTAGTGTCCCAAATTTTCTGATCAAGGAGATTATGGGGCCAAAGAGGAAAGTGATCGATGATGTAAAGTGTGCCTAAAGAAAGTCACATGGAGAGAACATTCTCTCAGGCTTTCACAAAGAGCAAATTGGCCAAGCAATGGCCATGACTCATCCCCATGGCTGACACTCACAAACAATCTACAATCTGAGGTACAGGATCTCAGAATAAATCCTGATGGGATTTGACTGACCTTATCAGATCTAAAAGCTACAACTCTTGTTGCATAGGACTTGCTTTATCTTGGTCTTAACCATCCAGCAGAAAAGTATAAAAATGAAGTATAAGAAGTAAAGCCATGCTGTTATGTTGAGGTGTAGGGGACTCAGGTCAACAATTTCTGACATTACCAGTGAAGCGGAAGACCCAATACTATTATGGACTACTGGACTCTTTTAGAATATTTTGCTAAGTTAACACACCTATAATATTCAAATAACAGAACTAAAGAAAAAAAGGGGATACAGACAAATGTCCATTTTGTATCTGTGTATTCAAGATGGTTAGGATAGATATATAGTTACATTCTCTTAATGAATAGAGGGATTTGTTCTAATAGTGTTTGTAAATAGGGTGTCATGTCTGCATCTTGTACAGCAAATAACACCACTGCAATGTGTTAATTATTGAAACTGTCCTGCCACTTTGATTTGAAACTGTCTCATTGCTATTTGTTTCTCAATAAAATTATGGGGAAAAAAAAGGTTAGCCTGAACCACATAGTAAAACCTTGTCTCAAGATTGGAAAAAAAAAAGCTAGCAAGCAAGCTATTTGATAACAAATTAGATAACTACGATAACTAGAAAAACACAAACTACCAAAACTGGTTCAAGCAGAAATAAAAAGTCTGAAGAGACCTATTGCAAATAGAGAATCAATTAAATTGATAAACTTTCACAAATGGCCAGAACTGGATGGTAATGCAGGTGAATTCTATAAAATATTTACAAATCCTTCACAAACTCTCAGAATAGGAAGTTTCACTTCACAACTTACCCAGTAATGCCAGTACTACCCTAATATCAAAACCAGACTAACACATCAAAAGAAAACTACAGACCAATTAATATAATTAATTTAATCTAGTTAATAACCAAACAAACCCCAACTAAAAGAAAAAGACATAAATAACTTCATTCCTACAAGATGGGTAAAAATGAATAGAGCCAATGCCATGTCAGCAAAGATACAAAGAAAAACTATAAGACACTGCTAAGTGAGCGTTAAATTAGTCAAGCTGTTGTTTCCCAGAGTGATGATGCAAGATATACATAGCAAAGCTGAAAATAAGCAGGGCTGTCCAATTCCAGTGTTAAATTTACATTGAAAATGAACTCATAAATGTGGCCAAAGAAATTGCAGAAAATATTTATTTACCATAGTACTATTTTTAACAGAGACAAAGTAGAATGAACTGTTTATTTATATAACGACACTAAACAGTAGTTTACGGGGCTGGTGAGATGGTCCAAAGCACCTACTTAGAACAAGCTTAGCAAAGCATAGGGACTGTGGTTCAATCCCCCAGCACCACATGCCAGCCAGCCCCGCCCCCTGGTGGGCTGAGCTGGCCACACACACACACACACACACACACACACACACAAATAAATAAATAAAAAGAACTAAAAATAATTTTAAAAAACAGTAGTTTACAATGGATAAACTAGCATACCATGTATTAACATGGACATTTTAAAAAATATATTAAATGAAAAAAACTACTACTCATGTTTTTGGGTTTGTTTGGTTGGTTGGTTTGATTTTATTGAGACATGATCTTGCTATATAGTTTAGGCTTGGCCTTGAACTCACTGTGTAGCTGAGGCTGGCCCCTCACACATGGCAGTACTGGGATTGCTAGTTGTGCCACCATGCCAAGCTTATTTATCTAAAATTGTAAATACAATACACTTAAAATCGATGTTTTAATAAATTTATGCATAATGTAAATATGACAAGGGATGATCTATCACAATGACAGTGAAATTTTAAAGATTCTAATGATAATAAAACAGCTAGCTGCAACACACATGCCACAGGTTCATCACCACTTTACACCAATTTCAAAATAGTGGTTACCTTTGGAGAGACACATAGGAGGACTTCAGCCACCTATTGTTTTTAATAAAATCTGGATCAATTATGTAAAATGTTAACATTTAATTTCACTGATGATATACCAGTATGTGCTCACATTTTTCTATTTTGCATATAAATATATTAAAATGTATTTATATAAAAAATGAAGTTATATATACACATACTATTTTGTTTTAGTAGTGCTAGGGATCAAACCTAGTATTCATGCTAAGCGGCACTCCAGCAACGGGGTACATCTTTAGCTACATAAAATCATACACATACATCAGACAAACAAGTCTACAACTCCAAAACTATTTTTATTTTGACATATTTTCTTTACCTATTTGAATATTGTGGAAATTAAAATATAATTTTTTTTGAGACAGGGTCTCACTATGCAGTTCAGGCTGTCCTTGAGCTCACTTTGTAATTTTGTAGCCCAGACTGGTCTCGAACTGGCAACGATACTCCTGCCTTAGCCTCCTACATTCTGGGATTATAGTCATGTGCCACCATGCCCAGCTTAGTATACAAATTTTTATATTATTCATTTAATATTAAAATTCTACATTTAACTTTTTCCATTATTTCATAAAGTTTCAAGTTTTTCCATAGGCTTCAAACATTAATTCAAATTTGGGGGTGAAGGAATTTAGATATCAACTATTTTAATCTGTAAAGGTAGAAAATGTTGAAATGAAGTTCATACTTGCTGAATTTGTCTAAGTTCTTCCAAAAGTTTTAGTGCCATATCATGATCTTTCAGCAAATGATATGCAATCCAGGAAGCACACTGTGTTGGATGCAACTGCAGAAGCTGATATCTTGTCTCCTTTAAAAAAAAATTATTTTAATGGATCAAAAAGATATGGTGTTTTTATATAATGGAATATTACTAAGTTATAAAGAATGATAAACTCAAAGCCTTTATATTTAAGTGGATGCCACTTGAAGATATACTCTAAGTGCAATAAACCAGACCCACATATGTAAATATTGTATAGTCTCCCTAGAGTAAGAACTCAAAAGAAGAAATAAAAATTGAAGATACATAACAAAGAAAAGAAAAGAAAAGTATAACATAATTAAATGGAAAGCAAGAATTTAAGGATTAAACAGTGAAGAAAGAGCAAGAAAAAAAGTCAGGAAACATGGCAGGGGCAAAACCATACATTTATATACACAAGATGGTTAAGGCAATGGCCCTAAGAATCTCCATCAGGCTTTTGAAACTAGCAGTTAATTGGTAAGAGTCTCCTCCTGACTAATTATATATGCTGATATCTGTAAACTAAGCCAACTACACTAAGGATAGCAATGTGTAATACTAAAACCATGCTTGGAATACCTGTCACTCTGGTCTTCCAAATGTCTACTGCTTCTAATGTCATATCAATTATTTCTATTCTCTCTCTCAAGTAAATGTTTGTTTTAAAAAAAGGTAATAGATAACAAGAAAGAAAAAAAAGTCATAGGATTGTCCTGCTACAATGTTGAATATGGTTAGACTGCTAATTTTCTGTGTAAAAATGTATAATTGGTTTTTTTTTCCACATTCTATAGGCATTTAAAGTTCAGAATATCAACAAGTGACGGAAAATACCTGTGCCATATTATGTCTAAGGTGTCTGATATTCAGACAGATAGTGATGTTAAGCTCAACTGCCTCTGTTATAGGGTAATAATGTCATTAAGCTTCTCTTCTGAATGCTTAACAACTTAAGTTGGCAGACCAAAAATTAGAGAAAAAGAAGGGCTACAAGGATAGCCAATATTTTGGCCCTAGCCCTTCAAGGTCAATGAGGACTCAGGACATAAGAGAACCTGTACTGTGACATCCTGTAACTCAGTGTTGTCCCAAATTTTCTGTTCAAGGAGATTATGGGGCCACAGAGGAAAGTGATAGATGATGTCGAGTGTGCCTAAGGAGAGTCACCTACCTAGAGAGAAAACATTCTCTCAGGCTTTCACAGAGAGCAAATTGGTCAAGCAATGGCCATGACTCATCCAGATGGCTGACACTGACAAAAGATCTACAAACTGTTGTACATGGTTTCAGGGTAAATCCTGAGGAGATCTGACTGACCTTGTCAGACACAAAAGTTACATTTTTAGTTATATAGGTCTTGCTTTATCTTGGTCTTA